CATCTACAACTTCATTATTGGTGGTTTTTTTTTTCCCGCGAAACCGTTCCTGAACTGTTGCTTTAAGAGGTCTCTGGGCTGTTTCTTCCTTCTCTCCGACCTTATCGTGGAATCCACCTTTCAAGCTACTTGAACACGGCCTCAGAGGTGGTGGTACGATATTCTGAAATGATTCGTGGTCGCGAAGTCTATGGGGACGACTGGGAAACGCACCAATATGGTGGGTAAGAATCCAACACATTTCTTAAATGGAGTATCCCACGAAGGTTGAAGATCGATCGAGGAAGGGGAATTATATCCAGTCGGAAGGCAGGTACCTCCCCCCCCGTAAGGGTGTGGGCCGATGCGCGTTTCGCAGAGAAGTGCATTAGTACCTTGATCTATAATAGGCTACCTCGTCATTGTGACTCCACCTCTCAAGGATTTGAAAAAGTTGAAAGACGGGTAATTTCAAAACATGAAGCGAACTGATTGAAAGGGTAGGCGTGATGCCAAAAGAAAACCCTCTCGGCAAGTATTTTTGAACGCTACTGTACCTAATGTTCCGCGGTCTGTGGTGTGGAAACAATCAGCACCCCACTATATAAACTGTGTAGGAGCGAGTTTTGTTTTCAGGAAATCGTTCTGTTTCCGACGTCTCTCGTATCTCCAGAACAAGTTCCAGTTGCACGTGCTTTTGAACGAACTCCGCGAGCTTCATGAGCAAAAAGCCGTTTCCCATAGAGATTTCTACAATATCAGAAAGGTGGACTCATTTCAAAATTGGTAATTCCAGCTGCAGTTTTGAATGGTTTAGTTTCAGGTCGATACCCACATTCACGCTGCATCATCGATGAACCAGAAGCACTTGCTTCGATTCATTAAGAAGAAGATCCGAACTGAGGCCAATACCGTGGTACTGGAGAAGGTCCTGGTCCCATCTTCAACTGCTTCAGATTCAGAAGTTTGCCGTTTTCAACTCATCCAATATTTGTGGGCATAGCAGCGTTCAAAACTCGAATGTTAGTGCTAGTCCTGAGTGATCTCAAGCTGTGTGGGGTGCTTTTTGGAAAATTTTTGGCAACAAGAGGTGGAGCGGGTTACGGTAAGCGCCGTTCAAAGAAACCCGTAACTCATTATTTCCCAGATTTTTGTCCACCAGTCCACCTGTCACTACGAAATTTCTGACTTGCTTCCGATATCACTTCGACTGTTCTGCCCAAAGTACAAACATCATCTAGGCCATGTCATCTGTATAGTTCAAATGGATTTTTTTAGAACAACAAGCCAGTCACCATGAAGGAAGTGTTCAAGAAAATGGGAATCGACGCCTACGATCTCTCCGTAGACATGCTGGATGTGCATGCAGACAGGAATACTTTCCATCGCTTCGACAAATTCAATACGAAGTATTTCATATGCGTTTTGTTATTAATTATTTGATTCCTGTAACCCGTAGGATGAGATTGTGGCCAATTTGGTTAGATAGTAAGCTCATCCCTGCAAGGTCAATTGTGAGGGTTGGACTCGACTTATCTAGAAACTCCACGAGTTGATGGCTATTACGTTCAAAGGTGTAGGCACGGTATGGACCGCAGGTGAGGGGAAAACGTAAGAAACAGCTGGTTAGCGAGAATAATGTTTCTCATCTTTGAGCGGTGGACGAATTTATGAGTTTCCCTACGAAACAGAGTTTGAGTTGTGTTGGGCCCTGAGACGACAAAACACGACTACTGTAAAGCATAACCCGTAGAGGCCAGATGCATCACGCAAATAAAGGGAAGCTGAGGAGGGAGGTACGAAACGCTATCGAATGTGCTGTCTCCCGATTTATAGCAGACCCCAAAATTTTGGTTGCCTTTCTGTTCATTCAATATTATTTTTATGTCTACTAATTTGAACTGTTCTAGGTACAATCCAGTTGGCGAGTCGACATTGCGCGAGATTTTCATCAAGACCGACAACTATGTGGGTGGGAAGTATTTCGCTGAGGTGCTTATGGTAAGTGTTCTACCGTAATCGTTAGGCTGGAATATAGCCAGTGAAAGACCTTCATCTCATTCCATTTCAGGAGGTTCTTTCGGACCTGGAAGACTTCAAAGTACACCGAAGCTGACCCGCGCTGTCTATATAACGGCAACCAGCAAGGTTGATGCTCACGTCACTTGTTCATTTATTATACTTAGTTTGCTTGCATCCTTGGTGCGCTCTGGACAATGTCGAGCTAAAACTAACAAAACTCGTCCAATCAATCACTAGGTAAACCAAAATTTGAACCATTCTCTCCTCCTTCATCTGCTATAACAAAAGCAAAATGTAATTTGAGGAGTCGACCTTTTCATGTCGCTCTCATACTCAAGCAAATTTTACGGGACCTTTCTACAGCCGTAAGCGCTTAGCTATACGCCGACAATGTTTCCTTTTTCGAGCTTTTCCCCTCTAGCGGTCTCTCGGCACTACGGTGCCACGTTATGGAGGTGTAAAAAATGGAGTCGAGTGATTCGTGGCTCACTTTATGCTGATGGAAAGAACTCAAGGGAAATCGGCTAACTAGGCCTGATCACGATTCAATTCAAAAATAATAGAGGAATCGTTGGCATAGAAAAATTTGGGAATTTCCGGATACATTGGGGTTGTGGGGAGTTCACTCGAGTTACCCACGTTTTAGGATGAGTGGGATAAACTCGCTAAATGGGCAATCACTCATGATGTATGGAGTCCGAATGTGAGATGGCTGATTCAAATTCCTCGCCTTTAGTAAGTTGAATTTCATCTTATTTTTTCACCTTTTTTTGATTTTTCGCTTTTGTTAGGAGTCCATGTTGAAAGTGCGCTAACATATCGCCGATATTTTAGTGATATCTACAGTCGAAAAACATAGGTGGAAGACTTCGACGAGCTTCTCGACAATCGTGTTCACAGTCACTTTTTGAGGTATGCTTCCACTTGCCTTTTGGAACTCACCAATGAAAAAAAATTCCGAAGATGTTTAAATTTCCGTGATTGTTCCGAGAGTGATAGAACAAGCATTGGAACCGGAGGGCGGAAAGGAAGGGGAGGGGGGTTAGTCAGGGGTGAGCTAAAAATTGCTCTCGTTGTTCACACTTTCTTTGCGCTCAGCATATTAGTCGGGCTCCCTTGCCCTTTTCTTTACTGTTGTAGTTCCTGATCACTCAGTAATTTGTAAAAGATTTGGTACCTTTGACGGCAGCAGTTACGATAGATTTGAGAAAGGTACAAGGGAGACGTAATGGTGAACAATAACACGCAGGCGAAAAAAGCTGAGAAATCCAATGTATTAATATGATGTAAAAATGTACGAGGTAATAAACGGGAGAGAAAAATAAATGCCATCAAAAATGCCTTGGCTGCATGGTGTTTATTCCTATGGTCCCATGTAGAACGTTTAATCGAACCACCTTTCCATTCACAAAGCACTCTCATGAAGTTCGCAGCGGTACCCACCGGTAAAACTAGCTTGAGGTTGGTTTTATTACGAGCGTGGGAAAGGTTTGTGCTTTCCGTGATGGACTTATGAGGCATGACCTATGCACAAGCCTCAAACGTTGTCAAGGGCATATCCGCCGAATCGTATACACAGACGCCCAAAGTCTCGGGAGAATATCCCCTCCGGGCTTGTTTGGGGCATACGCACATCGACGTCGCGATCTGTCAACTGACACGTTCGAGCTTGTGCACGACACCTTCGGGGACATATCTACGACGAGCCTTGGGACCTGTTACACACGGCCCCTGCAGCTCCATCCATGATCGAATGCCTCTATCTAGTACATCCTCTTCGTAGCTTGGTGGTGTTGCGTGAGCGACGAAAGAACCTTGCCGTAAGATTTGAAAAATAAACCGTCAGTCGCAAAGGTCACTCTCAGTTGTCCCCACATGGGTGTGGTTTGATAGAGAATGGCGAAATACTCACTTAATTTTGCAGGCCACAAATGACCCGTCGTCACATCCAGATCTCTATCGATTCCTCCAACAAGTCTCCGGTATAGATTCAGTCGATGACGAAAGCAAGCACGAATTCGTTCATGTGAGCCTGTGAAACTACACCCATTCAAAACTAATCTGTCTTCGTTCCCATTTTCTGAAATCATTTGTCGTCTTTCAGTTTGACCGATCAACACCCAGTCCGAAATTATTAAGCGATAAAAATTCCTCCATAATAATTAGATCTGTTCTATATGTATGCCAATCTTACGGACATAAATGCTTTCAGAAAGGTAAAGAAATTCTACTTGAATTTGTTGACAAAAACGAACATATTGGGTCGCCAGGCATTTTAACTTCTTTCTGCTCATGTAAGAAACTGAACGAGATGTGAGCGTTCGACAGCACCATGAAACTAGGCAAGCTTACCAAGAAAGGTCGTTAGGTCACCCTGGTTAAAGGCAAGATTCGGGATAAAATAGGTGTCTAAAAGCGTTCAGTCATGATACTAGAGGTGGGAGGTGGTCTATAAAAGAGAAGGAAAGCAAACGAAATCACAGATTACGCTCCCGTACAGAAACCTCCCCTATTTCAACAACCCTTCCACTTGGGAAGGGAGGAACGCGAAACGATTCGCGAGCCTGACTCTGGTTGCTCCAGTGCCATTGACACAGGATCGCGGTGGGACCGCTGCCTCAAATGCGCCCGCGCTTTTCAAGCAGCGCCACGTGGCAACGGACAGCGGAGGGTGGGGCTTGCGGACGAAGGTGTGAGTTGCAGGTCGGACGAGCTGCTTGTGCCTTTGTCGCGCACTTTCAAGCGGCAAAAGGGGTGCGACAACAACACTTGTCCGCCTGCCTACTACCCCCGGGATGGAAGAGGCGAGCGCGCCTAATCGTGGAGCGTGCCTTTAAATGAAATGAGGTACATTTCTATGCGCGCTTCAAGTAGATGACACTGAGCCAAAGGTTTGTTAAGGCGTATTCTCGTGGGAAATCGAAGTGAAAAACGCTAGTTGTGAGGATCAATCTTAGCTGACCCCGGACCGCTACGGCGGCTCTTTTCAGCTTTGTAACTAAATTCAGAGATTGCTCATGGTTAGCAGATAGTGAAAGCCTATTTGTATTCAACGTCTCATGACGGGTCCAGTGATGTAGACCCCATTTCAACTGGCAGAGTTGACCTAAAGACCTTCCTGGCTTTTCAGGGGCCTCGTGACAATAGTCGCACCCGATGAACGTAGAGCCTAATCGTTGTACATATCTAGTGAACTTTCCGTAAAGTCGGTTTCTTCCCTCTTCAAGCATGCATTTCAGGCTGTTTAGTTAGTAGGCCTAGCGAATAGCACATCGAGGCCGCTGTTCTTCTAAGCAATGATGGGGATCTCTTAAGCTAAGCCCATAAAGACGCACACCTCATGAAATCTTACATCATTAACGCCCTACTACTCGTCATTACAATCGGATATAATACTGCGACACAACCACGCCTCTGCCGGTGGAGCGGACTACATTTGATTGTTTTATTTTTTCTCGAGCAACGCCGCGACGGTAATACGGAACGCTCGAATCTAATGACACGCTCTCACGCCCAGAAACCATCCTTTGTTCCAAAATCCGCGGAATTTCAGACCCCAAGAAGTGTAACCTCTGATCAACCCGCTCCTAAACCAGCACTAGTGGACCTACCTTTCTGCGGAGAGAAGACCTAAGATCACCGGATTTGAGTAGGTTCTTTCGTCGTGTACACTTCAGTCAAGTGGCCTGTGTGGCTTTAGTAAACGAGAAGATATAGTTTGAGAGGCAAGCATCCCTTCTTGGCTCCTTCCCGAAAAATAAACCAATCAAAATCGTCACGTTCCTCCCGAGCACCCGTTTAACTCTTGGCTCAAAGCCTGCTTGAAGTTATCACCTACTCATCACAATCGAGCTCGGAGCTACACGAACAGATAGATCAATCACTCTCATGACTCTCTCACTCACACAATATCTATGCAATGTACGATCCCATACTAGCATTGTCCCTCAGAGTAGAATCGAAAGCTATGAGCCGCTTAACCGACATCTATGCCGAAATATACCTGACAAGCTGAGTTAGGGTGACAGGATACACTGGTAGCGTAACATGTGGCGCACTTGCACGGCAAGCGAGAAGCACAGGTTCGAGCTCCGCGTGGGAAAAAGTTTCGTTCATAACCCAGCATTGTTGTGAAACTTTCGCAAAGCCTTCTGCGGCCAAAAAAAAAACACTAAGCAAAATTCATCGAGTGGCTAGGTCGCCACACAGCAAATTTACAAGGCAGTGATAGGTATGGAGCTAGCGGAAGGGGTTGGACTGCGACATGAAAGAAAGATAAGTTCGATATAGCGATTGATTGCGCATCAACCTCTGAAGCTGTCATTCGTAAATTTATCTCAAAAATGGTTTTTTTAACTGTTTTATGTCTTATCTTTGATTTCAAAGTTCATTATTCATGAGAGATCAATTTTCAGAGAGCGAGGCATGAACAACATTTTCTCTACGACCTCACTGTGGAGAGGCTGGTCACGTTAATCACCTACTTACGGGATATCTCACCAGTGAAAGTATAGCGCACGGTATTCTGTTACGGAAGGTTTGTACTGCAAGAAATATCTTCATTCAAAAAAAAAACTTCGCTTATGTCCATGGGGGGGTACATCCTGAGCAGAGCCGATGGTAGGTGGGACTAGGGCTAAGTCTAGCAAAGGGGAGAAAGGCAAGGGAGAAGACAAATTGCCACAACGTGCTCCTCCGGAATCTTTTCCCCTTTCTAGGGCTCAGTTCCAAGCACAATGATTGGCGCACTCGCTCGGATGTCCCCCTCATGGACATGAGGACAGGATTGCCGTCTCATATTTATATCCAGCTTTTGATTACCTCACGTTGCCATCAGGAAAATTCCAAGAGTCCCGATTGCAGACTGCTCTGAAGAGGTGCCATGAAGGGCTTTGGCGGTGTGTTTCTAGAGATTTATCGGCGCATTACAGATCGTACATTTCTTTAGAGCTGGTAAACAATTTTGGAAAAACACGTATGTTATAGAAAAGTTTCAAGCCGTGTTTCCACTTGAGATTGGGTTCTTGCCTTGTTTCAAAACTTGAATAAAGAATTGTACAACAGTTTCGCATATTTTCATGGCGGGTAGGGGGAAGGGGGGAGGAAGATAATAAAAATGTCTGCAGAAAAATGATTCAAGCAGCTCCAATCTGTAAACGGGTTCTATTTCTGAACGCAATAAATGAAAAGCCTCTTAATTACTGAAAAAAAAACTGAACAATTTGGATTTCTCTCGTGTGTCCGTCCCGTTGCACGCCCCAACGCCGGCAAATTGCAGCCAACTGCGGCACACATGGTAGAGAGTGATTGTAGGCCCGGTTATTCCTTCAACTAATGATAAGCTGCGCAGCCAACAGTGGCTGCAAACTCTGACGCTAGCTGCTCCAGCATTCTCCAAGTGCTGTCCACCAGAGTGTATTCCAGTTGCAGTTAACCATAAACAGAAGTGGAAAATTTCTCACGCAGACTGTGAAGCTTATCAGACCATGCTTAAACAGGCATAGGCTGAAGAAGTGCGGTTAGCTTAAAAAATACAATTCAGGTTCCAGTTCTTCAGTATCTTTTCTATCTAACGAATATGGGTATTGCGATGTCGCCATTATCAAATAACTCGTTATTTATCAGTTATCAACGTAATCCGCTTCCAGAATATCTTCAGAAGGTTCGCTCTTCGTAACCATCGTTCTCCAATGTCAGCCTTCTGATTTCGTTTTCTTTTTCAGGGGCTTAACGTTTCATTGTCCACTGACGACCCTCTACAGTTCCATTACACTAAGGAAGCTTTAATGGAGGAATACTCGATCGCTGCACAGGTACAATTCCTTCATTTTGCATATTCAATGGACCATCTGGAGTAACTGGCTATTAGGAAAAATGGAAGCATTTTGATAGGTAAATGGCATATTGACTAATCATCGATCCACAGGACGTTGCACATTCTCTCCAGGTGTGACTGAACCAATGCCTGCCTTTGAGGCAAGTCTGGTATCAACCTTGTGTATTATTGCGCTTGCAAGTGATATTGGAGGTCAGTGGTGCTGGGCGGTTTTCGGTATTGCATTCCATTGTCTTGGCGCCTCGGCCTTCTCAAATCATCCCGAAAGTTGTGTATATGCTTCCCGCTTGCGTACGACTGCATTTTGTCGGGGAAGCTTCGATTTCGACCAAAAGTTCCGGTCTTTGCTTTCAAAATGTGGGAAGGCTCGCATAGCACCGAATTTGGCACAAATTTTATTGTGAGCTCGAAATGTACCACTGTAGGTCACGAAATTCTATTCTACGTACATATTATGTAGAGTATGTATTCAGGTATGGAAACTAAGTTCATGTGATATGTGCGAACTGGCACGCAATAGCGTTCTTCAGAGTGGATTCGAAGATAAAGTGAGCTTACATTCCACAAGACGCCTTTCCGTTAGGACGATTCTCGGACGTTCAGTCTCAGTAGCGTTACCTGACATAAATATAATTTTTTAGGTCAAAATTCACTGGCTAGGCCCACATTATCAAGAAGAAGGAGTGCTTGGTAATGACATTCATCGGACGAACGTCCCAGATATTCGGTGAGTTTGATGATCAGAAATCATAGCTCCACGGAGAATTTTTCTTCCCATTTACCGCCGTCTTACTTTTATCTGACTTGCCTGCTCCATGAGAGTATTCGTGTATCAAAAATCAGGCGAGTCCCTATGATCCTTATGGAAGCACTAAGGGCACCGTTGCTGGGTGGGCAGGTATGAGACTTGGATCCTACTCGTGGACACTTCACCTTTGGAAGTTTTCATTTTTTTCCGCGCACTGGTCGTTTGTCTTTTTTTTATTCTTACCCTACCTATAAATGTGGAGAGGGATTAAAGTGCCCAATGTCCCCCTTCTATGGCATGGATAGTTCCGTAAAGATGACTAGCAGGCTCTCTTAGGTAAGGTACTGTTTGCGTTCATTCCTATTTAAGTTCGAGTGCATCAAATGCACGCACGGACAAATAAATAAAAAGGTATTTGCAAAACAGGGATTCCAATAGCGTTAGTAACAGAGTGTGCTTTGCTCAAGAATTTGAACGATAAGTCGTGGTGGAAAACTCCCTCAACGGTACCTCGTATCTTACAAGGGAGGTCTTTCAGGACATGGAGCGCTTTTTCGAAATGGTTTTCTGCATGTTGTAGGGGCTCATGCGAGGAACACAGAACCATGATCCATTTTTCCTGAACGCCTCCAGGAATGTCAAAACAGTGGTGAAGAAATGGTCCAGAGTTCGATCCCCGGTGATGACTAATTTTTGCAATATAGTTTGGCGCCCCAGATTGCCGCCAAATGGCGCCATCGTCGAGAATAGATGTCATTGTCGTGTTTTGCGGCAATTTGGAGGCGCCAACATAAATTGCAAAAATTTGTCATCACGGAGGATCGAACTTTGGACCATTTCTTCCCCGCTGTTTTGACATTCCTGGGGGCGTTCAGGAAAAATGGATCCATGGTTCTGTGTTCCTCACATGAGCCTCTACAACATTCAGAAACCATTTTGAAAAAACGCTCCATGTCCTGAAAGACCTCCTTGTTAGTGGGATACATCGTCACGGGCGCGCCGCAGGACCAATACTCTCTGTATGCGGAGCGGAAAGCACGTACCGCCATGCACCCCATCTGCAGGAGAAGAGAGGAGCACTATTAGACAGCAGAGTCTGCCGTAGGTGATTAGGTCTCTCATAAGGTGTCTCCGCCATCGATGGCATTAGTTACTATGGTCTTGACAAAGTCGTCGAATGCCGAGACCACTCTGTGACGACTAACGAATCCTGTTCAATATCCTAGGGCTACTGCTCATTATCTCCACATACAATTGACCTAAAACAAGTAAGCGCGGTTACATCGAAAGTGACTTTCACGTCTACTGGGATTACAATTTGCAGAACAGCAATTTGGTCATCGCATTTTCAACTCGTTATAATTCGATCTCCCCCAACGAAGTATAGATAGTCTTCTTTGACAAACGACCATTTGTGCATATCTGTCGACACACATCACCTGTAACGTTTAAAAATCGTTTCAGAGTGTCATTCCGTCATGAAGGCACATGTGGATGAATTGTGCAATCTGTTCCGTGTTCAACACCTCACGAATAGCGACCACGAATAGTCACTAGTGACGACGGGTGATCTGAGAGAAAAGATCTTTTTCGCTTCAGTTTTAACCTTTGATACCGATTATTGTGTTTTCTTCTCTTTTGCTAGCTGAAGCGTTCACATAACCTGAGAAGCTGTTCTTTATCACTAAGGCTCAGAGCATTCCATATCAAGCTATCAAAATTCCACTTCCTTACTTCTACTAGAAAATACTAGCTCTTCACGGATGAACTAGATTTTGATATTTCCAATTTTTTTTGTACTGAAGCTTCTTCATCCATATCTCCCTTACGCTATTATTACTGCTGTTACTCTCTAGTTTTTTTGTGATGATTTTCATTTGAGAAAAACCCCGTTTAAGGGCAGCTGCAAGAGAAGGGGCATAAAAATCGATAGTATTCGTACCAGACATTCATTAGGGAAACGTGTCGTACGCTGATATGTTGTTTTTGTTATTGAATTCATACACACATATTACATATTCCGAACAACGGAAGGGTTCATGAAAACGACGGCAGAAAAGTTTAGTCAGAAATATTTATACATATTCGCAAATCTCTGTCCATATTTCTCAATATAAAGTTTATTGGATGTTTTGTGATTTGAGAAAATAGATTGAAACGCTATACTTATGCAGCTCTTGCAATTTTCGTCCCACCAGGACCCTGGCACTTTAACGCCTTTGGTACTGGGACACATGTGTCCCACTTCGTAGTCAAAGACACTACCACAGTTCCAGGGAATATTGAGGCAGGAGGGCTTATTTGATGGCTGAACTGTGCACATATAGAAGCTTTCTAATTCCTACTATGACAATTAGTCGTCAGAAGCTAAAGCGAGTCATCCTGCGTAAGTTAATCTTTGACTACTGGTGGTACACATGTGTCCCACTTCGTAGTCAAAGACACTACCACAGTTTTGGCACTTATTGAGATCGGAGGGTCCGCTTTATGGCGGAATTGTGCACAACTAGAAACTTGGTAATTCTTACTCTGTCAGCGAAGTATCAGAAGTCTAAGCGAGTTACGCTGGATAAGTTGATAAGCAAGTCGTTCCACAGGTCACTGGGCAGTGTGCACAGCTCCCGAAAAGGTAGTTTTCGAGTCTCACACTCTTTGTATTGTGTTAATGGTTCTAATATTTCCCTCAATTATTGTGAAACAGGTGAAACATAAGCAAACCGATGACGGATGGAGGTTTTTATCGGCCGCAAGCCAGTAGAGGACGACAGCGTTTTACGACTGCGTTGGAAATTCCAACCTCCGGAGTTTTGTCAGTTCGTTTGATGCGGAAGTGGTAGTAGAACACTCCTATGATGACGCAGCTTTCGAGCATAAAAACCAGCGAAAATTCGTTAGAGGAGAAGCAGCCGGTGGGCGCAGCCTGTAGGCAGGGGAGCAGCACTTCTACAAAGTGCGGCTTGCAATTCTTTTCAAGTGCGTTCCCAACCGGACATTGCCTTGTTCCACGAATGAGATGTGATAAATGTGTATTTGTTGAATGGTATTTGAACTGTTCAAAATGCTCATTCGAGCGGAGATGGTGTGGTGACAGGAGGGGCCACTGCCGCGCATATGGTCTCTGGATCGAATCCCAGCTCAAACCCAGCGCGCGTCAGCCAAATTTCTACAGATGATTAGTTGTTGCTAGGAGCGACTGTTACTACACAAAACACATCGATAACTTGTTTCTAAAAAAGTCGTAGTCTAAGGGTTAAAGGAGGATTTCACGATAAGGTCGAAGGTCGGATAAGGGGACATTTAGCTAGTACAGGGTGTCCCAAAATTACTTGCGCCTATTTATTGCAATGTCTTTTGAACTGTTGGACACAGAATGGTAATTGAATATAAACATAATTATACTAACATCATACACTACAACATGCAACAACCAGATTTCAAAATGTCCTCCACCTGCACGAATTCAGGCCCGGAGTCTCTTCTTGCACCATTCGCACGCAGGTGTTCCTTATCCAATTCTTCCCAGGCTTCCTTTGATGCTGCTTGCAATGGTTGCAGATTCATACGACGAGCTCGACATGCCTTGCTCTTAATCATGGACCAGACTGAGAGTTCCAGTGATTAAGATTAGGGGAGCAAGAAGGCCATTCCTCGCGGCGACGAAGTCGGGCAGTTCGCAGCTCGCATCTGCCTCGAACGAGCTTGGCCCCATAGGCTGTAGCACTGTCCTGCTAGCAACACCACGGCTTGTTCCCAAAGTGGGGGTTGGATCAAGGTTTCAATACGTTCACTAATACGCGCGTCCTTGCTGATCTTCACACATGAATCGGCAAAATTCAACGGCATCTCATCATTGGCCGCGACTCACACCCAATTCATTACTGATGCCGAGATTAGTCCCCCGTCAACCGCCGGGACCTTCCTTTAATGCGCAAGCTTTCTATCCTCCGCTATGGTCCCTTCCTCCTGTGACACCAACACCTCCTGGAAGTGACGCGTATGCAACACAATGGTGTTTCATACAGTAGAAGGGACACAATCATGATATGACGGTAGATTTTTCGCTTCCCTTCCTCATCCTCCCTTCCTCTCTCCACTGCCCTCCAGCTGCCACTGCAGCACCATGTGGAATGAACGGAAGTGTGCTAAGCAGGTGTTTATATAGCCCTAAGAGTGTTATCACAACTATCCTGCTACAAAACATTGATATCTCAAATCCTGTAAGCTACCCGATTTGTTAGCGGTTTGTTTATCCCATGAGCTTCCTTCTCACTCACTTCATTTTGCGGACGGACACACATACATACATACACACACACACACATACAGATACACAAACCGACACACAAAGTTAGCGCTTTATAAAATAGAAGGATACCGAGTTAGCCGTTCTTGTAACAATCTTCCCTCGTGAGATGACACTCCCGATACTTCTGACTAGAATGTGATCGCTTTGGCTATTCAACACCGGCTCCACAGCGAATATTTTCTCGTCAGAAAAAACGATCGAGAGTTGCGTGTCGCCAGTGAAGCGCGCTAGTAACCTTCCAACTTTTCGGCCTCTCTGCTGTTTGTTGCTGAACAGAATGAAGCGGCACTTCTGCATGTGATAGAGTTTGTAGTGCTGCTTCTCCTTAATGATGCGCCCCATCGATGACTTCGATAAATTCAGCGGCCTCGCCATCCTTCTGATGGAGCACCGTGGATTGCTAAGCAAACATTTCGTTGATTCTATCCGTGAACACGCTGACCATTCTTCCTTGTACAGGCTTGTGAATGAGTGTTCTTATTCTCCTGCATCGTTTGTTGGCCACCTTTACTGTGTTCACGGGAACACCAAGAAATTTAACAATGTCCTAGATGCAGTCTCTTGCTCGCGCACGCGAATGATCGCAGGTCACCTTGGATCACCTCTCGCCATCTCAGAGATACTGGCAGTTTTACCCCAATAACGATGCAGTTCACAAGAGAACCTACCTGCACAACTATTTAGTAGCGCCCGAAATGAAAATAATCGATATACCTTTTCCAATGAATTTTTGAAATTTGGCGCAAGTAATTTTGGGACACCCTGTAGAAAGATAGGCGGACCCCCTATAAAAGTGGGCCGACACGCAATTCACAGCGAAGGATATGCCCCGGTGAGCTACTATGGTCATCCTCACGGCGCCATCGGCGCGGCACGGCTGAGTACGAAGCTCACGTATGATTGGGTCACTCGGCTACTCCAGAGTCTGCTTTCAAAAATCGTCCAGGATGGAAAAACAGATCCGTAACGCAAAATCACAGGTCGTCGTAACGCAGAATCACAGGTTAAGGAGATCGGAAGGGTTTAATTGTTGTCGATTCGCTTTAAAATTTTATATGACTTACTTATAATTTGAACCTAGGAAGGACTCTCGACCACTTGGCACTGAACAACAAAAACAAAAATGGAACATAGCGAGAGGGTGTGAGGAAGGGGAGGGGAGAGAAATTGACGGCAGAGAGGTGCCAGTCGATCGTGGTTGTTGTTTGTGTTTGTTCGTTGTGCCAATGACGCTTGAAACCGGTCACGAGGCATTACCCTCCCGAGAACGCTCGGCACCAGCGTCATTTCGGCTGGTTTTTCCTTTACGATTATCACGCTATTCGACTACCAGTGATCTCCTTCATTTTCTAATGATTTCCTGTTTTGTTCTAGTGGTTGCTATTTCTTTTTGGAGTCCTGCAAGGCTTTGCAGAAGTAACTGGTTTGGAGTGGTAGTTCCTTACGGTAGCTTGTGAAAGGGATTTCTGTGAGGAACCTTCTAGGGAATGATTAGTACCCAGTTGTATGGCCGAAGATACAGCCCTTCAACGATTACCAACTCCTTCGAGGATCTCCTGTGAATTGGTACTGTATGAATTAGCCCATCAAATAAAGCTGAACTTTGACTGCATGAAATGTTTATGAACTTGATGAAGCATTTCAGCAACTTAAAATTTTTAGAAATAGGATCTCTTAGAAAACTTGGATAAATGTAAGCTTACAGATTTTGATGGCAGTTTTTGCAGTTCTCTTTGTGGGATGGTACAGTTCCTGCAATGACCTTGATGCAGGCAATGGCCCTCATAATGCAGTTTCCTGAGCACAAACTTCTCCAGATTTTGTACCGACCATGGCGAGCAAGGGGAGCATTGGGAAACGGCAACGCT